GACTTCAATGTTGTTGAACAGCTGGGGCATACCCCCTCCAAAATCTCTATGCTATCATTGCTGCTGTGCTTAGAGGCCCACGCAAAGGCCCTGATTTCATTTCTGAAAACGGCCCATGTGCCGCAAGAGACCTCTGCAGATCAGTTCACTGACTGTGTGGCTAATTTGACAGCTGACAATGGCTTGGGTTTCTCGGATGCTGACCTTACCGCCAAAGGGAAAAATCACAATGATGCCCTGCACGTCTCTATAGAATGCAAGGGCACTACTCTCGCACACGTATTGGTGGATACCGGTTCTTCCCTGAATGTTTTGCCCAAGAAGGCATTGGATCGCTTGGATTGTGAGGGCCTGGAATTGAAACCTAGTAACATTATTGTTAGAGCCTTCGACGGTTCTAAGAGGATGGTGCACGGTGAGGTAGACATTCCTATTCGTGTGGGTTCCCAAGTCTTCGACTCAACATTCTATGTAATGGATATTCGTCCATCTTATTCCTGCTTGTTGGGTCGACCCTGGATTCACAAGGCTGGGGCAGTAACATCCACTCTACACCAAAAGCTCAAATACCCTGTCAAAGGGAAGATTGTTACTGTGCAGGGTGAGGAGGAATACATGGTTAGTCACTTGAATTCATTCCGGTATATCGAGATGGAAGGGGAGTTTATTGAAACCCCCTTTCAGCATTTTGAGGAGGTACCTCAAACTTTGGCGTCAGCTGAGACAGTGGTTGAAGAAGACTTCCCCTTGAAGATGGCTTCCCTGAAGGATGCCCGGGCTGTAATCGAGAAAGGCAATTGTGCAAACTGGGGTCAGCTTACTGACTTCACTCAAAAGACCGACAGGTTTGGGCTGGGCTTCACTGCAGAGGCTCAGAGGGCTGTTCGCAAGGAAAAGATCAGAAAGGCTCCGGTGTTCATCACCAATCCAAGGGTGAATGCTATCGAGGAGGACGTAGTGGAAGCGGAGTTTGACAGTTGGATCTATCCAACCACCAACAACGGACCAAGCAACTGGACGACAAAGGATTTTACACCTATTACATTTGTCACGCAGTAATTAATTCTTTTGATTTTCAATTTGTAACAAACAATATGTTGAAACTTTGATTGGCTCGATGTCCTACCCGGGGCATCGTAGCTCCATGTGTGAGGGCTTTTTGTATGACATTTCCATATATCATTAATCAAAACATTGGATGTTTGTTGCATTTCAAATCTTATGCTCTTTTTTTCTTTGTGTTATATATTGCAAAACAGCTATATTTACACACACTCACTTATACAGGTTTCAATCCACTCTGGATCTCACTGGTAACAGCTCTGCTACCACCAGTTATGACTTCGAGAATCCGATCAACTTGGCCGAAGACGAAGGTGAAGATGATTGCGAAGTGCCTGGTGAACTCGCAAGACTGCTACTCCAGGAAGAGAGGGCCATTCAGCCGCATGAAGAGCCCGTGGAAACAGTGAACCTGGGTACTGAGACAGATAGAAAAGAAGTCAAGATCGGTGCCAATCTAGAGCTCAGCGTGAAGCAACGATTGATCCAGATGCTGCATGATTACATGGAGATCTTTGCTTGGTCCTACGAAGACATGCCCGGTTTAGATGCCGACATTGTGGTCCATCATCTGCCTACCAAGGAAGACTGCCCTCCGGTAAAGCAAAAGGTCCGCCGTATGCGTCCAGAGATGTCCGAAAAGATCAAAGCTGAGGTTATGAAGCAATTCGATGCCGGGTTTCTAGCAGTGACTTCTTACCCTCAGTGGGTTGCCAACGTGGTGCCAGTGCCGAAGAAGGACGGTAAGGTCAGAATGTGTGTCGATTACAGGGATCTAAACAGGGCAAGCCCCAAGGATGACTTCCCCTACCTCACATCGACGTTCTTGTTGACAATACTGCTCAACACAAGGTGTTCTCCTTCATGGACGGTTTTTCAGGGTATAATCAGATCAAGATGGCTCCGGAAGATATGGAAAAGACTACCTTTGTGACTCAGTGGGGCACCTTCTGCTACAAGGTCATGCCATTCGGGTTGAAAAATGCTGGGGCAACCTACCAACGTGCCATGGTTGCTTTATTTCATGATATGATCCATCATGAGATTGAGGTATATGTTGATGACATGATTGCAAGGTCCCAAACTGAGGAGGAACACCTTGACCATCTGCGAAAGCTGTTTGACCGACTGAAGTTGTACAAGCTAAGGTTAAACCCAAACAAATGCACCTTTGGGGTGAGGTCGGGAAAATTGCTAGGTTTCATTGTGAGCGATAAAGGTATTCAGGTGGACCCTGTCAAGGTAAAAGCCATACAAGAGATGCTGTCTCCCAAGACAGAGAAAGAAGTCAGAGGCTTTCTGGGACGACTGAATTACATTGCCCGATTCATCTCACATCTAACTGCTACCTGTGAGCCAATCTTCAAATTACTGAAGAAAGATCAAGTAGTACGTTGGAACGATGAATGTCAGGCTGCTTTCGAAAGGATAAAGGAGTACCTCCAAGAGCCACCCATTCTTATGCCACCAGTGGAAGGGAGACCTCTAATACTATACTTGACAGTACTTGACAACTCAATGGGGTGTGTGCTGGGGCAGCATGACGAGTCTGGCCGAAAAGAGCACGCTATTTGTTACCTGAGCAAAAAGTTTACCGACTGTGAGTCTCGTTACTCACTGCTCGAGAAAACTTGATGCGCTCTAGTATGGGCTGCTCGCCGGCTGAGACGATATATGCTGACTCACACTACTCTGTTGATTTCAAAGATGGATCCCATCAAGTACATATTCGAAAAGCCTGCTCTGTCTGGAAGAATAGCAAGATGACAAATGATCTTGACAGAATATCATATCCAGTACATAACTCAGAAAGCAATCAAGGGAAGTGTATTGGCAGATCATTTGGCACACCAACCTGTGGACGATTACCAATCGTTGAACTTTGAATTTCCGGACGAAGATATCATGGTGGTAACTGATTGTGAAGTGCCTGGACCGGATGAAGGACCTGAGGAAGGATCCCGATGGTCTATGCATTTTGACGGAGCCTCCAATGCTTTGGGTAACGGCATCGGCGCTGTGATCATATCCCCCAAAGGAACTCATACTCCACTCACTGCCCGGCTGTGTTTCAACTGCACCAACAACATGGCAGAATATGAGGCATGTATCATGGGTCTTCAAGCTACAATCGACTTAAGGATCAAGTTTCTGAGTGTCTTCGGAGATTCCGCTCTCGTGATCAATCAGATCAAAGGCGAGTGGGATACGAAACACCCAAATCTTATTCCTTACAAGGAGTATGTGTTGACTTTGCTTCCCCACTTTGAAGAGATAACTTTTGAACATTTCCCAAGAGAGGAGAATAAGTTAGCGGACACACTAGCTATGATGTCTTCAATGTTCAAAGTCAAATGGGACAATGAGGCTCCCTGGATCATTATCTGGAAGTTGGACGAACCTGCATACTGCTGCGATCTTGAGGCCGAAAAGGTGACTGAAAAACCCTGGTATCATGAGGTGAAGAGATACTTGGAAGCTCAGGAATACCCTGAAGGTGCATCAGTCAACGACAAGAAGTTCATGAGAAGGTTTGCGGCAAAATTCTTCCTCAGCAACGACATTCTCTACAAACAGAATCATGATTCAACTCTACTGCGTTGTGTGGATAAGGCTGAAGCAGAGAAGATCATGATAGAACTGCATGAAGGTACATTTGGAACACATTCCAGTGGACACACCATGGCAAAGAAAATCCTTAGGGCAGGATATTTCTGGTCCACAATGGAAGCCGACTGTTACCAACATTCTCGAACTTGTCATAAATGCCAGATCTATGCTGATAAGGTGCACATCCCTCCGGTTCCTCTGAACGTCCTGATGGCACCTTGGCCTTTTGCGATGTGGGGTATCGATATGATCGGTGAGATCCGACCGACGGCATCCAACGGGCATCGCTTCATCCTAGTAGCAATTGATTACTTCACGAAGTGGGTAGAAGCAGCTTCCTACGCCACCGTAACCAAGAGCGTCGTGGCACGTTTCATTCGGCACAACCTGATCTGTCGGTACGGCGTCCCAGAAAGGATCATTACGGACAATGGTACCAATCTTAACAACAAGATGATCATCTGAGCTCTGAAAAAGGAGTCAATTCGGCTCATCTGCAGAAGGTGGAGCATGCTTTCCTAAATATCCAAAGCGTAAGGAATCGCTCAAGCGGGCTAGCCTGATGACAGCTAATTAAGAAGTCAGTCCGTATCGATGCCAGCAGGTTCTCGTCCTTTCACCCCGCACACAACTACCAGTCTGGAAGTCGCATTTCAATTAACGAATTGCAGCTTAACAGACTAAGCAGTCGCTACTCCCTGCTATGAGAACTAGGTTGATTCTGACCCTACTGTCGAAGATTCCAGGGACTTAGCCTTCGACAGGAATGGAATCGCCGACTGATGTTACGATGACCGGAACAACTTCTACTAGAACTAAGTGGATCGTAAGACCGAAATAAAGAGGAAGCTTACTTACCTCTTAGAATAACCAGATATCAAGTAAACTAAAGCATCTGTCATATGCTGTAATCGAATCCGTAAAATATCTTTCATAAGATAGTTTCTCACATAAATGAGTCCTCCCCTTTCTGCACTTGCTGCCTAGCCTTCGGGAATGAAAGTCAGTGCCCCTGGTTTATAAGGAGCTGCTTCCTAACCGCTTTCCAACATCATCTTTCCAAAGCAAAGGTAAACGACTAACTAAGCAAAGCACTAGGTACGGTCAGCCTTAGACAAGCCAATCATTCAGACCTTTATCTATATTAACTATTTATTTAGTCCTATTGAGTAAGGGAAGGGGTCGGTAGGCTCTCTATCTCAATCCGAGGAACTTAACTAGAGCTCAGGAGGAAGCCAGCCGCTTAAGAGAACTTCACTCCTCTCCTTACAATCGAGATCTTCAAACCTCTCCTTTAGTAGAGCCCTCTCTCGCTGCTACTGAGCTAGATGCCTCATTCTCTTCCTGTTGAGGTGGGAAACCCCTTGGTTGTCAATCAGTTTAGTTTGAAACCCCTGGTCGAGCTTCTTCTGTGGATTCCCGGTTGATTCTCTGGTATCTGGTCTTGCAGCTTCTCTTGCTGCTCTTCTCTTTTCCACTCAGAAGCTGGTATGAAATTAGGGAAACAAAGAAGAAGAAGGTAGGACGCTAACCTTGCTTTCCGTAATGGTCAGAGTGGCAATGTGCCCCTTCCTTGTTGGGTTACACCCTTCCTTTGTCAACACACCTCTAAAATAGGGTAGGGAAGGAATTCACCTTTGGGCGAGTTATCCTACAAGACTGTGATGAAAGAGGGAAACGACTGCTTAGTCGAGTATCTCCGCACCTCTGCTTGAAGAAGATTCCCTTGCTACTTCATCTACTGAAATTGACATCTTACAAAAACTTGCATCTCCAACTATGAACTCCTACTCTAGCTACTACTTTATGCCCGCTTCTCTTACTTAACGCAATTTTAATAGTTAAGAAAGGGAGTTCTTCACTCAGAAGAATCAGACTCAGACTGAGCTTCATTGCCTATCCATTTAGTCGGTCTCGTACCCAAGTGTATATCCCTTCTTTGTTTGCGTAACACTCTTGATCTTGAAACCAGAGAATAAGCTGACCCCTTGCTCAAGTCAGTACCCAGATAAATCCCTATAGCCTCTATAAGAGGAGATTTTAGATTCCTATCCGCTCTCTTCTATTAAGACACCCGTAACCGCTAATGCTACAGCTCCCCTCACTAGTAGCTGCGGATGAGCGATAGCCTGTTTGCCAGCCTCAACTCAATCTTTCACAGCTTCCTCAGTGCGGAATAGAGCAAGCCAAGCCTTGATCCGGGAGGATAGTAGTACTTCATGCGGGGATACCTCTGCTGGATTGTGGAAGGGAGATTGGCTTTCAAACTATGTTCTAGTTCATACCGTGTAAAAGAACAGGACTTTCCTCATTTCTCTTTCTGGAATTTCCCATTCTGGCTTCTGGATGGGGTGAAGATGGAAGAGATAGGTGGGAGGGTGGCGAAGCTGGAAATCAGATCAAATAAGCGAGACCTCATCCGAGGGGAAATGATTCAACTAAAGATCCCTTTATTAGATCAAGTCACTATCGGGATGGCTATCAGGTATAGGATTTCATCCAGCCGGCACAAACCCGGAGACATAGGAAGGTTTAACGACTTGCCCTTTTTAAGTCTTCTTTCTATTAGGCTCTATATGGCCTTATAATGCGTCTTCTTGTCCTCATGTGTAGAATCCTTCCGAAAGGTTGTTTTTATCGCTGGGAATCTGCGTCTCGTGTAAGGTACGAAGTTAGTCGAGTTAAAGGATAGAGGGAACGACTTAGCGAATTAAATGGAAAGTTAGAGTAGAGGGAGAGTGAGAAGGTCAGTCGAAAGATCAAGATAGGCATCTTTGCCGGTTGAAGGCCTTTCTCTTCTCCTCCTGGGATTCCATTAAGGGAGTTCAGCCGAGGGATAAGCTGTTCTTGCGTCAGCCTTTAGCTCGGCAGTAGAATTAGCTTAGCAGTGGGAAGAGTCTATTCTATAGAGAAGCCTTAGGCCAAGGAAACTACCATGCCAATCTCCAATACTTTAATTTGAAGTTCCTCTTCTCGTTGAGCTTTTAAAGGATGTCAGAAGGGTGCTTGCAAGCCTTGCAAACACAGAAGACTAATGGAGGACCGCCCATCCCATCGACTATCTCTCCTCCACTCCCAGAGTCTACCTCCGCTACAAAGCCGCCTTCTTCCTTTTCCTAGCCTTCATTGATATCGTATGCGGGTTATCGGAATCAGAAAGATCATATATTCAATGACTTGATCCGTGAACGGAACCTTTGGCTTACCCGGAATGGACCATTATTCAATGCATATTGATTGAGAATCTGTGTAGGATCGCGAACCTTCTCTTACGTGGGACACGGAGATGGAAGAATGGTAGGCCAGTCTTGACACAAATGGGCTTTCAGACTTAGCCAAGGAACGCCATGACAGATAAGCAGGGACCTCGAACATGAGAAAGACTGATTAAGGAAGGGACAGACCTCGTCAACGGAGTTTGATTATGAGCTTTCTTTCAGAAGGGGAAGACTTTCTTTAAGGTTGATGAGTCAGACCCAGACAAAAACTGGCATTAGTGTCCGAGGGTCTCTACAGAGTCTAATATTCTAACATAGCATTGTTACAGTTTTGGTTACTTTCTTTACTTGAAGTGAAGTCCCAGAGTGAAAGTTAACTAAAATCTAAAGGGAAAGCAGGAACGGTTAAGTAGATTGTAATTCCGTTGAGGACTTACCCGAAACAGTCTAATCTTTTGATTGGGACTCATCTTTCATATTTACTAGACTTCGCACCAAAGTTAAAATATTCTTAATTAAAAGTTAATATCACGTCTTTAGCGTATCCCATACCCATAGCCGTTGCCCTTCTTTTGGTACAGTGTAAGAGTCCCGGGCTGAATTGCCTTGTTGGTTGAGTTATGTTATCTCCTTCTTAAGGATCGGGAAGTCTTTGACTAAGTTCCTCCGTATATGACACATTCGTCTAGTCGTATTCATCCTCGTGTAACAGGCTCCTACCCCGAAGTGAATCACTCCTCCTTTCGGTTTTTGCGTTCCATCTGTCGGCTAAAGGTCCATTGCATTCCTAAAGTGAATATTGGAATCTTCCTTCATCTTTTATGTAAAATAGCGCTTAGTCATATCAGGGGCAATCTTCTATTAAATTACCTTTGCCGCTAGGGGTATGGAAAAAGATCCGTAAATTCCCCCGCTTTCAGAGATTCCAACTCCTAAAGGAAGAAGTCCCCCTTCTCAGTATCAGAATAAGGGACTAACGGAAAACCTGTTCTTCACTATACGAAAAAAGGGGATTGGACTACTTAAGACTGGAAGGCTGGCAAAGGAAATGGCCCTTCTTCAAGGTTAAGCTACCTTACCTTAGCCGGCTAAGCAAGTGAGACGGGTAGACCACTCTATAAGATAGACGCGCTCAACGAAGAAAGATAAAATAAGTCCTTGATGCTACTTCAGCTCCATTCTCAAACAAAAGCAAATCCAACTTCGACGACTTAGACAAAGGGGGTCCACCAGCAGATTATCCATGTGCAAATCGAAATGCGGTCCGGTTCGAGCATATCCTCTTTCATATCCATATCTCGCAGATCCTGATTCTTCGATTACATACCTATCAGCAGTAGCAGATCCTGTTCCCACTCGAGAGCTTGTAGTTGTGGATCCTCCAGATCTCTAAGATAGAGTTGATCCCACGGACGCAGAGCCAATTCACTAATAAAATGACCCAGTTAAAGAACCGCCCCATAAGTTGAAACTCTTTATCCAGTCGATGAAGATACCGAAACGGAGTCCCTAGTTCACAAGCCTGTTCCATAGCTAGCCCGGGTTGAACCGGAAGCACACGTCCTGGTATACGGGTCAGTCTCGAGCCACCAGGATAGCCCTCCACATATCCAGTTCCTCCCTTGAGCGGTAACTCTTTGCTAACCCGAGCAGCCTGAACCATACAAAGACTTGAGGTGACTAGCCTTAGCTAACAGCAGAGGTATTCTCTTTGCACTTGCTCCAGACTATCTTGCTTGGATCACTTCGGTGAGGGGGTTATGCCAGAGGGACAGCAATCAATTCACCGGGTCAAAAAAGTACCTTTACACCTACCCTTTTTTTTAGTATGACTAGACCCAATAGATTGTATAACTATACCCAGAACTTGTTGTCTACCTAGGGATATGCCATTTACGGGGAATAAGAAAGGAGCTAGTCAGAGATTTTTACTTCTTAAGCCAATCCTAGTACTGGTCTTACTTATTACTGCTATAAAGAAAAGATTCTAACGGGTAGAATGATTAGCTCTTAGACCTGTTCAAACTCTGTGACAGGGTAGGACTACTATTGTTATAAATGATAGGCCTTTCACTTCTTTGCTTGGTAGCTCAGTCTTTTATAATATGCTATAGATTATCAATACATCTTTCCTTTGCACTGAAAGCTGGCTAGCCTCAAATCTCTACTTGAACTACTGAAATGGGATCTAGCCTTTGGGCTTAGTTCTGAGTTCTGCCTTCTAGTTCTTTTCTTGATGACCCTTGTTCATGCCCGTGGTGAGCAGTGGTCTCAAGGCTGTTTATGGCCACCTAGAACACGGTTCGCCTTCGGAATAATAAAAAAAACAAACCTTCACACCAGAAGACCTAGATTGGTTTGAGAGGCGTATAGGTCCTGTCTTACCATCCAGCTACTAGGTATTCAACTGGTAACTGGTCGCTTAGGTTGCTCCCTTGAGGGCGCTGGCAAGCGCCGGATATTTGCTATTTCCAACTACATGAATCAGCGATTGCTTAAGCCTGTCCACCAAGGGTTTGCGGAGGTTTGACGCCGCCTGCCAATGGATGGTACGTTTAACCAAACAAAACCGCTGTTTCTTTCGTCTAATTCTTCCTAGTTTCGACTGTTTCAGCTTTGACCTTAAGTCGGCCACATAAATAACAAAATAAAGCCGAGGTTGAAAGGAAAAACCATTCGGGGATGAAGTTGCTTGCACATTGCCCCCAAACTCACACAGCTAGGTTTCGAGAGGGCTCTATCGATCTCCGGAACAGGGGAAGAAAGGGGGGAAGGAATTTGATTCTTTACAGCCCTTTCCAGACCTTATATTATTTCCTTCGGTTGGGTTCGCTTTTTGGTAGGAAAGGCGGTAGTAGAGTTGCTAGAGGTCCTTCGCGTAATTCTACTCTTTGTTTTCCAGGCAGGGACGCCCATAGTTCCCTGCTCTAACTCCTCAGATTTCCCTTTGCTTTCTTTATTACTTATCGCACGTGCCCAGTCTCAACGTAACTTCCCAAACCTAAACCGCCTTTCCCAGATCTATGAAAGGTGAAACGTTGAAGGTCCACAACAGGTAACATAAATGAACAAGTTTATTTTGTATTCGAGCTGCTGAGGGCCGGAGCTCGTATGGATACATTACTTCATTGTTCTATAAGGCGTTGCACTAAGTCCATACTCGGATAGGGTCGCGAAGTGCAAAGATCCGGTCTTTGACAACCGTCGCATTAGTTTCAATTAGTTACTACTATGGAGAGACTAAGCTCTATTTCAGAGATTGGACTCTCTTACTGTGATTAGCCCCCACTAGTAAGAAGCTGTTCCCGAGCCAGGTTCCCTGGATCCACGTGTTCCTAGTCGGGCCTAAATGGATGAATGAAGAAGGGGGCGGGCAGCACTATAAAGAAAGAAGCCCGGCCACACACACCTCTTTTTAGCCGACTAAAGCCGGATCCACTACACGGCTAGAATCAGAGAAAGATTGAGAAAGAAATTTAGCAACCTAAACCTACTCTACTTTGATTCAAAAGGTTTGGAACCCATAAGGATCAAATCGAACTAAAGGGATTCGCGTTACCATTACCCCGCTGGGACAGACAATGCCAATGGTTACAGCTACAGCCAGAAAGAAATTAAGCAAGTCATATTATGCTTTAGTTCCATAAGAAAGCCTGCAAGCGGTCTAACCAGTGCTCAAGTAAAGAAGGACTTAATTTCTCTACTGAACTTTCAGAAGGTATCTAAGAACCCTTTTCTTTTCCCAGAGTCCCGTCCATGAGCTGCGGTTAGGATCAGTCTTCTAGTAAAGGAAAAAGCATGAACTCGCTACAAACGAATTGAGAACGAGAACACAATAAGAGATAGAGAGGAGGAAAGCAAGGAAGCAGAGAAATTACCCTTTTCCGACTAAGATGACTATTTTCAGGGCGTAGACGCCGCTCTCAACTACACATAAAAACCTTACTACTTATCGGTTTACGAACGAAAGTGTGGTGGACACACTGATGACCACTTCTACGCAGTCTTATGATCACTCTTGTCTTACTAGCGAGCGGATTCGGGAACTCATACGCCCTTGGGCTCCCCTGTCCTGCATCTGAGACTTCTATTACTTACGCTTGAAGCTTATGATAAAGTAAAGAAAGTGTTGGGACCGAGGGCCAGCTTGGATTGGGCATGCTTTCTTATGCTACTACTACACATCCTATGACTCTTCCTTCCTTTCGGAAAGCTCAGTCCTCGAGGGAGGATCGGAGAATAAACTCTTTACGTTAGGGCTAGCAGTCTCTCTTTCTGTATCGGCTTTACCTATCGAATGGGCTTCTTCGTTGAGTAGACGTCTCGAGGGGCAGACAAAATCCGTTTTTTAGTAAAAACTCCTGCTTCTT